GCGTCATTTAAGGCTGTTGTTTCCTTGTTGATTTTTTGTCTGGAAGATCTTTCCATTGGTCAATAGGGTGCTAGTCTCCTACTATGAGTTTTTTTACTGACAATCTCTTTCATTATGCTGATCAATAATTGCTTTATATATGTAGGTGCTCTTATGTTGAGTATGTATATGTTTACTGGGGTTATGTACTCTTGTTGCATGATCTCTTTATCATTATGTACCTTCCTTCCTTGTCTTTTATTATAGCCTTTGTTTTAAAGTCTGTTTTGTTTAAGTATTGCTAACTCTACTTTTTTTTTCTATTTCCATTTGTATAAAATATCTTTTATCTATGCCTTTGGTTTCATTCTGTGTGTGTCTTCTCAATCTGAAGTGGATCTTTTATAGACAGCATGTGTATGGATCTTGTTTTCTTATTTTTTCAGCTACTTTATGCCCTTTGATTGGAATAATTAATCTATTTACATTAAAAGTAATTATTGATAAGTCCATAGTTATTTCAATTTTATTTTGTATGTTTATGTCCCCTCCCCTTCTTCATAAAGAAGTCCTTTCAACATTTCTTGTAACACTGACTGGTTGGTAATGAGTTCCTTTAGCCTTTTCCTGACAAGGAAGTCTTTTATCTTGTTTTGAATTTTAATTATTTCTTATTTAAGTATAATTAATATATAAAATCATATTAGTTATATTAAGTTTAAGTGTAAAATATATTGATTTGATATTTTTATACCTTACAATGTGATCACCAGCCCCCTAATTCAAGTTTATAATTTATTAGGGTTTGGGGTGACATCAGGGAAGCCCTAGGAATCTATTTCTCCACCTAGACAACAGTAGTATGAATAGTATGAACAGTATCTGTTGAAAGTAAATATTTTGGAATATCAGAATTTATTTTTATGCTTGCAAGTTCCAGGAGACAGTGAGGCTAGTAAATTGCAGTTAATTTTGCCCTAATTCATTTATTGGTGTGGTGGCAGCTATTCATTCCCTACTCCTTACTGCATTGCAGGTAGCTGAGAGGAATGCAACTTGTATTTATGGCATAGCTTGCTGGATCTGGAGTGAGAAATATGGAGCTGTTCTCAAACATTGTGGTTATATGTTCTGATTATGGATTGTTGTTCTGATTGCTGAGGTATGAAAGTGGGTTGGTTACCATTGTTTTAATTCTTACAACCTAAAGCTTCTTCTAAAATACTTAAAGAAGCTGTACTTTTTTTTTTAAAAAAAAAAAAACTGCATATATAGGGAAATGTAAAAAACTACATGCATGCTCAGGGAAAAGCACAGACTCAGAAAAAAACTAAAAAAGATCTTAAGATTTCACTGATGGCTGATCCCTGGAACAGAGATACTATGAAATAGTTAAAAACAGACAAACAAACAAACAAAACAAAAACAGACTCACTGTTGACAAAGAATCATAATCTAGCAAAACTGTCCTTCAAAAATGATGAAGAATTTAAGTCATTCCCAGATAAACAAAAGCCAATAGAGTTCTTTACCACTAAACCTGTCATGCAAGAAATTATAGAGGAAGTTCTTCAGGTTGAAATAAAAAGAAACTAGACACTAACTTAAAACTCCATGAAGAAATAAAAGCATCTGGTAAAGTTATTATTGTAATTTTGTTTTTTTTAAACTTTTTGTATATATACAGATGATGCATTATACTTAAAGAAACTGTACTATTTTTTTTTTTTGACATCGAAAGTTAACTGCAAGAGGTTTTCCAACTTTCCTAGAACCATTTATTGAAGAGCCTTTTCTTTCTCCATTGTATGTTTCTGGCTCCTTTGTTGAAAATTATTTGCTTATATATATGGGAGTTTATTTCTGGATTTTCAGTTCTATTCCATTGGTCTGTGTATCTGTTTTTCTGCCAATACCATGCCGTTTTGATTATTGCAGCTTTGTGGTATAATTTGAAGTCAGGCAGTGTGATACCTCTCCCTCTGTTCTTTTTTCTCAGGGTTGCTTTGGCTCTTCAGGGTGTTTTGTTATATATGAGTTTATTTCTAGGCTCTCAATTCTGTTCCATTGGTCTCTGTGTCTGTTTTACTGCTAATTCCATGCTATTTTGATTATTGTCACTTTGTAGTATCATTTGAAGTCAGGCAGAGTGACACCTATGGCCTTGTTCTTTTTTCTCAAGATTGCTATTGGTATTCGGGGTCTTTTATGTTTCTATACAAATCTGCTGATTTTTTATTCTATTTCTTCAAAAACTGCCATTGGGCTTTTGATAAGGATTGCATTAAATCTGTATAATTCTTAGGTAATGAGGTCATTTTAACTATGTTGATTTATCCAATCCATGAACACAGGACATCTTTCTATTTCTTTGTGTCTTCTAAAATTATTTTTAATAATTTCTTATAGCTTTCAGTGTATAGGTCCTTCATATGCTTCATTAGGTTTATTCCTAGGTATTTTATTCTTTTTGGTACAATTGCAAAAATAATTGCTTTTTTTTTCTTTTTCTAAAAAAATATTGTTAGAATATAGGAATGTTATGGATTTTTCTACATTGATTTTGTATCCTGAACCTTTACTGTATATATTTATTATTTCTAATAGTTTTTTAGTGATCGTTAGAAAGGTTTTCTGTATAAAGAATTGAGTCATCTACAAACAGTGACAGTTTGACTTCTTCAAGCCCTATTTGGAAGCTTTTTATTTCTTTCTCTGGCCTGTTTGCTCTAGCTAGGACTTCCAGCACTATATTGAATAATAGTGGTGATAGCATACAGCCTTCTCTTGTTTGTGATCTTGGAAGGTTTTTAGTTTTTCGCCGTTACATATGATGTTAGCTGAGGGTTTGTTGTATATGGCCTTTAATAAGTTGAGGTACTTTTCCATTTCATTAACTGTTTTAATCACAAATTGATGTCGTATCTTGTAAAACACTTTTTCTATATATGTTGATCTGATCATATAATTTAGTTTTTATTTTGTTTCTGTGGTATATCACATTAATTGATTTGTGTATATTAAGTCATCCTTGTGCTAATGGGGTGAAACCCACTTGATCAGGGTATATAATTATTTTAATATGCTGTTGTATTTGATTTGTTAGTATTTTGTGTAGAATTTTTGCATCTGTATTCATAAGAGATATTGGTCTATAATTTTATTTTTGTGTGTTATTTTTACCAGGTTTTGGTATCAGGGTAATGTTGGCTTCATTAAATGAGTCAGAAAATATTGTGTTTTTTTTTCATTATTTTTTGAAAAAGTTTGAGAATAACAGGTTTTAAATCATCTTCACTAGTGAAACCATCTGGTCATGGACTTTTGTTTTGGGGAGGTTTTTGATGATTGTTTCAATTTTCATACTGTTGATTGATCTATTTAGGTTTTCCAGTTTTTGTGATTTAGTTTAGGAAAGTTATATATTTAAGAACTTGTCCATTTCTTCCAGCTTATTGAGTTTGGTGGCATATAATCGTTCGTAATATTCTTGTACAATATTCTGTATTTCTGTTTTATCTGTTGTAACCTCTCCTCTTTCATTTCAGATTCTGTTTGTGTTTTTTCTCTATTTTCTTTAGTGAGTCTAGCCAGGGGCTTGTCAATTTTATTGGTCTTTTCAAAAAAACACCTTTGTTACACTCATTTTTTTTATCTTGTCTTTTCATTTTAATTTTATTTGATTCTGCTCTAAGTTTTATTATTTCATTCCTTCTCCTGACTCTGGGATTTATTTGTTCTGCTATCTATAGCTATCATCTGTCTATCATCTAACTATCTATCATGTATCTATCTATCTATCATCTATCATCCATCTTTACTTCCACACCCCTTTCCTGCTCTCTGAAAACAATGTGACAAGCATAATTATGGAAATATGTAAAATGATCGATAAATGTGCATTATTCCAGGAACACTTGCAGTTTATCATTAAATAAAATAATAATCTAAAGGACAAATGAATAATGGTAAATGATTACATTGAGAACTCTGTATATAGATGTGAGAGGTAGAAATTACTATCTACATAAAGCTCCTATTTCTTTTAATGGTGTGATAGATTCGTTTCCCTCCTTCTCTTTTGTTTACTTTTTCTTAATAATAAATAAAAGAAATTTAACAAAATATCATAGGGGCATCCAAAGGAAGATCACTAAAGTTTAACCTGAACTCAGAAATGGCTTCTAACATGAAGCTTCAGAACATGAGGTAAAATGCTTCAGAATTTTGGTTAAGGTACTTAATAAATCAAGCACACACTTCTATAAAATACCTCTATAAATTACATACAAAAAGTTATCTCCCGGTACTCAGAAGACTTGTTTTTATTTATTACAGTTCCACAGAAGTAGAGATGCTCATTCGACAGTAGCTAGTGTTTACTGTGGTAAGGCCATCCTGTGAAACCAAGTGCTCAGTTGTTCTTTAAAGAAACTTTTGAATCCACTTTGCTTCAGGCTGAGGAATAAGTAAAAAGTAAAATGTCATTCATCTTTAATTATAGAAAGTTTCTGGTGTATTAAGAGCCACATCAAAACACAGAATGCCATAGGTGGAAAAAAAACTTGGATATAATTTTTACTATTTCTTATTAAAAATTCAAGTCCATGGATCCTACCCCAGATGTATCAAGTTAAAGTCTGAGATGAAGTTAGCAATGTGCATGTTAAACAACTTTCTAAAAACAGACTCATAGACACAGAGAACAAACTGATAGTTGCCAGATGGGTGGGAAGCTGAGGGGGTTGGGTAAAAAATGTGAAGGGATTGAGAAGTACAAATTAGTAGTTGTTACAAAATAGTAGTGGGGATGTAAAGTGCAGCATAGAGAGTATAGTCAATAATATTACAATAACTATATGTAGTGCCAGGTGGATACTAGACTTATTGGGGGATTGCTGCATAAATTATATAAATGTCTAGCAACTATGCTATTCACCAGATATTAATAAAAATAATATTGAATGCCAACTGTAATTGAAAAAATTAAAAAAATAAAATTATTTTTAAAAGTGAGATGTCTACTTAAGCTTCTTGTTACAACCAGATTTTGGAGGAAGAATGGAAGAAAAGATCCTCTGGAGGGCATAAATAGAAACTTTAAATAAACTTTACAGAATATTTATCACCAAAGAGACTGAGTTAACCTCAGATTTTTGTAAACCAGACGAGATCCAGTTACTTCTGGCAAATTAACTTTTTGCTGATCATCAATAAGAATGATGATTCATAAAGAAGTTTAGTTCAGATATGAATTAAATAATTTATTTATTATTTTGCATATCTGAACCCTGGTATATAATAGTTCCAAGCTACTATGTCTGGATTTTGATTGAGTTTTTACAATATTCAGCAACTTCCTAGGAAATGTCTTTATATCTCACTTAAATCTGCCTCTGTAGAAGTTTTAGTCAATTTTCATGTTTGTTTTTTCTTGTTTAGAACAGTAACCATTTTTGTAATATGACTCTTTTTACTAATAAATTTAAATGTTTTCTTAAATCATAAGCCAGTTCTCTCTACTCCAGTCTAAATATTATTCTTAACTTTTGACATTTGTTTTGCAACTCTTTTGAGTCACTTTGAAGTATTCTTTATCTTTCTTACCTGCAAGCCCCAAACTTGTCAATATTCCAGTAAGAGAGACTATTCTTTAGAGAAAATATAAATTTAAATATTTAAAATATATTTCATTTTAATACAATTGTCACTAAAATAAAACAGAAGTAACATACCAAAGGAGCATATCTTGGCTTTGGAGGTGGAGGAGGCATCTTGCACCGACAGAGACGTTTGACCTTAGATGATATTAAAGGCTCACAAGGAGGTAGTGCTGGTCTTTCTCTTGATGGAGGAATTCTACCTATGTGTCCTTTTGTCTCTTTTTCTTTGAATGTGGTCTTTTTGAATGACATTTTAAATTGGCTTTTTTGTTCCAGTGTTTTCTTTGAATCTGTAGATGTGTCATCTGATTCATCAACTCTCTTTTTAGCCCCAAATTTATATATTGACTCTTCAGATTCAGCATCTGAACTTTTCAACATTCCAGGCTTCCTTGGATCTTTCTTGGAAGAATCATCAGACTCAGCACTAGTAGACTCTATGTCCTTTACATCATACTTCTTGACATCTTTCTTAGAATCTCTTTTAGCTTTCTCTGAATCTTTCTTACCCTTCTTCGACTCCCAATCAGATTCAGTTTCACTAGACTCTTCAGACTTCATTGCAGACTTCTTTTTGTCATCTTTCTTTAAATTTCTTTTATCCTTCTTTTCATTTTTTTCACCCTTTTTTGGATTCCATTCAGATTCAGAATCAGCATCGGTCGACATTGCATCTTTCTTGGCATCCTTTTTCTTGTCATCTTTCTGTGAACCTTTCTTATCCTTCTTTGAATCTTTCTTACCCTTTTTTGACTCCAATTCAGACTCGGATTCAGCATCAGTAGACTCTGCATCCTTCTTTATATCCCTTTTCTTGTCGTTTTTCTTTGAATCTTTCTTACCTCTCTTTAAATCTTTCTTTGCATCCTTTGAGTCTACAGATTCTGCATCAGTAGACTCTGCATCTTTCTTTGCATCCTTTTTCTTATCATTTTTCTTTGACTCTTTCTTAGCCTTCTTTGAATCTTTCTTTGCATCCTTTGAGTCTACAGATCCTGCATCAGTAGACTCTGTGTCTTTCTTTGAATCCTTCTTCCTGCTGTCTTTCTTTGTAGTTTTCTTATCTTTCTTCGCATCTTTTGAATCTAAAGATTCAGCATCAGAGCTTTTATTTGCTTCCTTCTTCGAAGCCTTCTTTGAATTATTCTGTGAGCAATTCTTTAACCACATACCAAATTCCATGGATTCAGCACCTGACTCCTCTAGATACATCATTACATCCACATTTGAAGTGTTTTTTGAGCAAGTCTGTGATTTGACATCAGAATTGTTCTTTGAGCTCTTAGAATCCTTCTTTGTACGTATGGAATCAATATCTATCTCCTTGGAATCTTTTGAATCTCTCTTATTTTTTTTTGGATGCTTCATTAAGAATACCTTAGAATCTTTGGATTCTGAGTTTGTTTCTGATTTGTACTTTGACTTCATAGATAGTTCATTTTCATGTGATGATTTTGATGGAGATTTATATTCTTTATTTTGTCTTTTAGGTTTTTTATCATATACTGTTTTCTTGGATTCTGGAGTTGTTTTATATGGACCTGTATTTTTCTTGGAATCTTTCTTAAAAGTTGTTTTTTTTTGGTCGTCTTTGGAATTTTTATATTCTGTCTTTTTAAGATGAGTTTTAGGAGTATAAGGATGTCTAAATGGAGCCTGTCTCCTGACAGTTAAGTAAATAGATGGTCTTTGGAAAATTTTTCTTAAAGAGCTCTGTATCCATATATGAGCTGGCTTCTGAACTTCCTCTAATTTTCTTTCAGCAGATCTCTGAAAATATTATTTATAAGGATAATAAGCATTTTTGAATGAGTTATACCTTTACATATTGATATATAAAAATAATCTAGCTTCTTATTAACCACACATCTTTTTCAATGTCCTATGTGTGTTTGTGTGTGTTACTTTAGGAAAAACCTTAGTATTTCCTCAATGATTCATATTGGGATTGAAATAGACCCGCAATTATCCATATTTCAGGGCTGGTACTCACAGTTGATAGTGGGTTTCTTTTGGGCCCCAATATGGGAAAAATCTTTTGGAATATTGTGTGCACCCTTCACCCTCAAGTTAGTTCAGAAATAAGCTGAATTGGCATGGCAATTCTTGTGATAGCTGTAGGCTTCAGGCCTAGCCTGATTCCTACTCCTACTTTTAAGGTCTTTGATCAGACTGAGAGCTTGAGAGCCCTATTGTGAAGTACTGCCAAAAACAAGAACATAAAGTGAAATAAATGTTTGGTCCACATTAATTTGTGTAGCACTAGTGTAATTTTAAACTCCCACCCAAACATTTGTTAAATCTGGTTGTCATAGTGTCCACTAGATTAATTTTATTATATTTATTTATTTATTCATTATATTCCTTTAACTATTCAGTAAAATGCCACTAGTCAATGAAATGGTCACATGGAATTAAAAGAGGACGATTAAGAGAAGCATGTACTTGAATTACTACAAATGTAATAGATGATGCTTGAATAAATGCATTGACTATAACTGTGTTTTTGGAGATGCTTTTAAAACATATTTTGATATCACTATGGGTGACCTCTGTGTATTAGTTTTTCTTTTTGCTACTTGATAATTCCACTTTATAAAGGTGGTGAAAAACTTGAATCTCCTAGTATCTAGTATCTCAAGTATAAGATTAAAGAAAATGAAAAGGCTCTGAAATCTCATCAAGATCAGCTTCTGTTCTAAGTCAAACCATATGATTTCACTCATATGTTGGATACAAAGCTGAAAAGAAGAAATGGACAAGACAAACAAAAACTCATAGACATAGACAACAGTTTAGTGGTTACCAGAGACAAAGGAGGGAGAAGGAAGTAGATAAGGGCAAAGGAGGTCGAATATATGGTGATGAAAGGAGATTTAACTTTATGTGGTGAACGCACAATGCAATATACAGATGACGTATTATTGAATTGTACACTTGAAACCTATATAATTTTATTAACCATTGTCATCCCAATAAATTTAATTCTAAAAAATTTAAATGTTTTTGTAGCTGCCAAACATTTCCTGAAAGAACCCAGAAGTTGCAGTATTAGGTTCTTTAGCTTGCCTAGCCTATTAAAACTGTATAATACCTTTGAAATGGAGAACCACATATAAATAAAAATTTAATCCAAAACAGGTGGAGGCAATCTGTTGTATGGAGAATTATAGGTAGTATAATTTAAATTATATGTATCTATTTATGTGTGTATATTGAATAATCTTATATTTTGTTTAAAAATGACCTTTTCAATACTTACAGGAACTGCGATTTGTAATTCTGAAGATCTTGTCTTTTTTTGACCTGGCTGGTGTGGTTCGGGAAATGTCAAAGTGAAGTATTCTTGATTCCATAATTTCATGCTTGACTCACTGACTAAAATGAGAGAGGATAATAAACAATTTGTAATTAGTAGCTAGAGTTTCATAAGCACTAAAATGCTCTTGACTAAAAAATATATTGTTTAAATTAAACTTATTTATAACTCAAAATATAGCTTTTCACCTTGGAGTTTATAGTTTATTTGCATATAAATTAAGGATTTCAATAAGATTTTCCCACAAAAGCTTATCTTCCCATTTAGTACTAAATTATGTTTTAAAAATATTTGTAATTTTTTCCTATGTTAAACAAAATTTTACAGGTCGTTATTTAAACTGTAATAGTTAAAATAATACAATCAATGACAGGAATGGAAAATAGAGAAAGATTCTTTTTCTTTTCAAAAATTTCCATCATCTCTTCTGTCTTGGTTTCTTTCCTTTATGTCCTTCTGGTTACATTTAAGACAATGACTCTTTGTATAGTCCCCATAATAGCTAGCATAATGCTGAGCATAAATTAATTAATAAAAGTCTCAATCGATTAAATCTAATGTTTATTTAAGTTCTCTGACATCAATGACATGTCAAGCCACATAAATTTGGGATACAGACCAAAATACTGCATTCAGTTCTGTGAACCCTATTTTAAAAAGGACACATACATACACTTGAGGACATCCAGAATACAGTAATTGGGAGGACCACATGATCTGGAAGCTATGTCAAAAGAGGAAATGGTGGGGTAACTCAGGATAGTTCTGTTGAAGATGAGGAGACTAAAGAAAGATGTGATCACCGTATTTAAATATTTAAAGAGATGTTATATGGAAGAATAGTGGTAGTAGCAATAAAGAAGAGCTGAAACTGCTAACACATATAGTTTACTATGTGCCAGACAGTGTTTTAAGCACTTTATACGTATCGACTCATTTAATCCTCAAACAAAACATTGAATTAGATAATTTATAATTGCCTTCATTTTACACATGTAGAAAAATAAATCACTGAGAGAGGTTAAATTAATTGTTCCAAATCATAAAGTAAGTAGAAGAATCAAAATTCAAACACAGATAGTTTGGCTCCAGAGTCTATTCTCTTAACCGCAAAGTTAGAGACTTCTTTTATGTGTTTCCCGAGGGAAGGACTATAATCAATGGGTAAATGTTGTAGTTGTGTAGGCGGATTTAAGCTCGACACATTAAAGAGAACTTTTCATAAGTTTTATCTGCATAACAAATGGACCATCCACTTTCATCTTTCTGACTGTATTTTTCTTTCCTACTTTAGGTTTTGTTATTGTGGATTTTAAATACAAAGTTATCTTATGCAATTAAGGCTGCCTTTTATAATAAGAGCCAATTAAATATTTCTTTTTAAAATAATGAGTACAAACTTAGATCAAGGCCAGAAATATTTAAAACACATACATACAAACATACACATACATACACATACATGACTCTCTTAATTTTATTCTCCTAATTTTAACAAAAATTCAAGTCATTTTATGCTTTATCACATTTAATAAAAGATACTAGACATTTGTCTTTAAATTTATTTTCAAATATAATTTAAACAATATTTAACACCAAAAACAAAATTCTTACTTGGTATGGAATTATCATATTTTCTGATATTAACTTCTTGTCTGTTCAAAAAAAAAAAAGAAGAAAGAAAATGCTTTAATTGAATTTGCACTATGATAAAAAATAATAATAACAGGGGTCAAGCTAACAGATTAACTAGTGGTCACATCCTCTCTATTATCTCCACCAACAGTAGGTAAAGTGTTAGCTCTATTTTACAGATGAGAAGGCTGAGACCACAAAAGTGTGACATCTTGTTCATGTTCAGACTGAAAACTTGTAAAGGAGCTAAGATGTTTTCTGATCAAGATGGCAGAATAGGTAAACTCTGTGCTTGCCTCCTCTCATGACCACCTAAAAATTACAGCTAAACTACAAAACAAACAAACAAACAAACAAAAACACCATCATTGAGAATCGCCTGAAGTCTAGCAGAACAGAAGTCCTATAAATAAAAAGTATATAGAAGAAGCCACATGGAGACTGGTAGGAAGGGCAGAGATGCAGAACCTGATCCCAGACCCCTGTGTGGTGGATAAAAATTGGGAGTGATATCTCAGCTGTGGAGTCCCCAGCACCACAACAGGTTCCCCAGTCTAGGGTTCCAGTGCCAGAAAAAGAAATCTCTACAACTTATGGCTGTGAAAACCCACAGAGATTGTGGCTGCATGAGAGAGAGGGCTGTTGAAATTTCAGGCATTTCTTTGATAGGGCCCATGCATAACCTTACTAGCTGATAGACTCACTCACTCTGAGACCCAGCATAGGGGCAATGGCTTAAAAGGCACAATGTGAAACTGAATTGTCTGGCTTCAGGGCTGGGGGGCAGGTTTCTCTCAGACAGAAGTGTTGACAGAAGCCATTGTTTCCTCATTGATCCCTCCCCACACTCAGCATTCAGACACAGGTGGGCAACATATCCGAGTCTCCATCAACCTGGCTAACACCGTTCACGCTGCCCTGGTGATTCCCTCAGACCCTGCCCAACCCAACTTGCGCACCTACCCAAGCCTCTTCTAGTAGATTTTCCATACAAATGGTCTGTATCTTGGCTCATGCTGCAAACTTTCCTAAAATCTCTCAAAGGTTCACAAACCCCAAATAGGCAGCATTTGTCCTCAGTGTGCCCCATACCTCTTGCTAAGCAGCCGCAAAATTGGCACTAGAGGCAGCCAACCTCAATTTGCAGCTTAGACTCCCACAGGCACCTCTAAGCCTAGCACAAGTAGCAATCATCTGCAGATGACTTTGTAGCTCAGACAAAAAGGCCCCAGGCATGGCACAAGCAGCAGCTGACCTTGGCAGAGCCACTCCCAAGAGGACACAGAGCCAACACAGCTGGTGACCAGCTTCAGAACAAACCAGAACACCACTTAACAACCTCCACAAACAAAACACCCAAAGGGCAGACTCAGCAGGCAACGAAGCCCAGCTAAAGTGAATCTTGCTCCATAGGGTCAGCCCATACACAACAGCTTCTCTGTACTCACCAGCCAGTCCTCATGAACATTAAGCCTGAGTGTAAATCCCTCTCATTGACATGCCAACAGCGAGAAAGTCTCAATTACAACACGAGGACACACACAACCCATACAAGGGAAACACCTGGAGCACCTGGCTCAGGTGACTAGGAAGACTATACCATTGAACCCCACAAGACACCTACTATATAAAGTCACTCTACTAAGACCAGGAGACATAGCAGCTCTACCTAATACATAGAAACAAACATAGGGAGATAACTAAAATAAGGAGACAAAGAAACATGCTAAAAATGAAAGAACCAAACAAAGTTCCAGAAAAATTATTAAGTAAAATGGAGACAATCTACTAGATGCAGAGTTCAAAAGACTGGTTATAAAGATGCTCAATGAAATTAGGGGAAGAATACATGAACTCAGTGAGCATTTTAACAAAGAGATAGAAAACATAAAAATGAAGATAAAAAAAAAAAGTACCAGGTAGAAATAAAGAATGCAATAACTAAAAAAAAAAAAAAATACATTAGAGTTAATCAACAGTAGATTAGATGAAGCAGAGAATCAAATCAATGATTTGAAATATAAAGTAGCAGAAAATACTCCACCAAAACAACAAAAAGAAAAAAAAAGAATCCAAAAATATGAGGATAGTTAAAGTGACATCTGGGACAATGTTATGTATAGCAACAATTACATCACATGGTTATTAAAAGGAGAAGAGAGTGAGAAAGGCATTGAGAACTTATTTAAAGAAATCATGATGAAAGACTTCCTTAATGTGGTGAAGAAAATAGACATATAAGCTCAGAAAGCACCAAAAGTTTCAAACAATATGAACCCAAAGAGGCCCACATAAAGATACATCATCATTAAATTGCCAGATTTTACAAAGAGAGAATCTTAAAAACAGAAAGAGAAAAACAATTAGTTGCTTACAAGGGAGCTCCCATATGACTGTTAGCCAATTTCTCAACAGAAATATTACAGGCCAGAAGGGTTTGGAACAAAATATTCAAAATGATGAAAAGTAAGAACCTACAACAAAGATTACTCTATCCAAGAAAGCTATCATTTAGAATTGAAAGGCAGATAAAGAGCTTCCCAAGCAAGAAACATCTATAGGGGTTCATTACCACTAAACCAGTATTACAAGAAATGTTAAAGGGACGTGTTAAGAAGAAAAAAAAAAGAGAAAGCATAAATATGAATAATAAAATGACAATAAATACATGTCTATCAACAATTACTTAAAATGCAAATAGATTAAATGTTCCAATAAAAAGACACAGGGTGGACGAATGGATAAGAAAATAAAACCATTATCCTGCTTACAAAAGACTCACTTCAGATCAAAAGACACACAGAGTGAAAGTAAAAGATTGGGAAAAGGTATTTCATGAAAATGGAAACAAACAAAAAATGGGTAGCAATACTTATACTAGAATATATAGACTCTGAAACAAAAACTATAACAAAAGACAAAGAAGTCCCCAGTAAGTTCACTCCAGGGTATTTATACAAAGAAACCTAAAACACTAATTTGAAAAGACATATACACCCATGTTTATTGAAACATTATTTACAATAGCCAAGATATGGAAGCAACCTAAGTGTCCATCAATAGATAAATGAATAAAGAAAAGTGGTACATATATACAATGGAATATTATTAAGCCATAAAAAAGAATGACATCTTGCTATCTGCAACAACATGGATACACCATGAGGGTATTGCACTGATTGGAGTAAGTTAGATAGAGAAAGACAAATGCCATATGGTTTCACTTATATGTGGAATCTAAAAAAAATTAAAATAAATGAACAAAGAAAAGAGAAACAAACTTGATACAGAGAACATTTCGATGGTTGTCAGATCGGAAGGGGTTTGGAGGGATGAAAACAGGGATAGAATTAAGAAGCACAAATTGGTAGTTACAAAGTAGTCATGGGAATGTAAAGTATCGCATAAAGAATATAGTATTATTGTAAAATTATGTATGGTGTCAGATGGATATTAGATATCAGTTGATAACTTCGTAAACTATCTAATCTCTATGTTGTACACCTGAAATTAATATTTTATGTCCATTACATTTGGAAACTATTATAATTCATAAAATATATTTTATTATTAATAAGCCATTAATATTAAACTGAGAAATCTTATGCATTCTTTAAACTCCATTATCTAAAGATGTTTACTTATAGGTCACATCACAGTTCCCCTCTCCTAGACCAAATTATAGATAAATGAAAGTGTATTTTCACCAGGAACTGGAACGAAAATAAATCATGGAACAAAAGCTGAAACAAATATATTAATTTGACACATTATTAAATATATAAAATTGTATTTAATTATAAAGAACAGTAAATTAAACCAGTCTCTCTTCAATTTTCCAGTGAAAAAAGTCTAAAACAGTAGTAAACCTATACATTTTCTAAATTAATTAAATACGTTCTGGAAAAAATACCCACAGCTTTTTAATGTTCTCGGTATTTATATGAAATCAAACCATTAATGATGGGTGAGCGACATATATTATAACTTTTGAACTGGATTTTGAATTTTTCTTACACATGGAAAACTTTGTCCATGGTAGTTTCCATTTAAAGTGAACATTTGTTTTGGTAATAATCACATTGTCTACTGAGGATATTCATGCTATAATTTGTTTTTAAAATAAGCATTACTTCCTTATTAGTAAGCTGGAATAGTGAGTTGTGACCATTCTTAATTCTGAGATTTTATTTATATACTCATATGTTCTACATTTTGTTTTTTTTTTACTTTTCTAAAACATTGAGGTAGTAAACAAAGCCAAAAATAAGTTAAAATGCTCAAATGTATTTATTTTTGAGTCACCAATAAATATATATATTTTTTATTTCCTAAGAAAAGCTCTAGTATCCAGCACAAAGCCTGTTCCATATTCACCATTAGATAACTACTGACTTACTTAAGAAAGATTTTGGAGACACTGAGTAATAAAAAATATCTATTCCAGTGGTTCTCAAATCAAATTAAACATGAGAATTAACTTAGAATTTTTTAAAAATGTAAAATTCCTGAGAACTCCCTGACCCATGAAGCAGAATATCTGGATGTCTTAATCAAGTTCATATTTGAAAACTTTCTCGGGTGATTTGGAATCTCAGCTCTGGTTAAGAACCACTATTATACATGGTCTTGGAAAAGGAAAACTTCACAGAGATTTGAAATAGCTTAAGTTTGTGCTTTTTGCTTTTCCAAAAGACAATTGATTAATGATCTACTAGTCCGTGTTGAAGTCACATTTATTCAGTAGGGTAGCTAGAAGATATGGCCTGGGATCCTAGAAATTTAAGTTTGCTGGCTGGATCGGTGTTTTTATATTCTAGGAAAATACTTTGAACCTGAATGAATTTTGACTTCCTTCCTACAGTCTCAGGTAGTGTTTTCAAAACTTTCTTTTTGTCAGAACTCAATATGTATGTGTATAATTTATATTCTACTGTAATAGTATACATTATAAATTACACATTAAGATAGAAAATTCTGAAAGATAAAATAAAACATATAACTTGAATTTCAAATATTG